AAAATACAGTAGCTTCAGTTCCTTCCAAGGTTACCAAAGACAGGAACAGACAAAAATAGAGCAAACTTAGTGCAACAAAACATACTTATGAGTCAAACCAGAGCCTCTTCCCAACCCCCTCAAAGGCATCTTCTTTCATGTTTATTTTGCTCTTATGGTATCCAGGTGAAGACTGCAGAATGGACTTCTCTCCCCATAAAGACAGCGTATTCCTACTACTAAAAGCTTGAGATGAAAAAGGCCTTCCTCAGTAGATATCAGCTAATTGCAGTAATTAGAAGTAATGCTTTGCTATTTCTGGTTGAATCCTCCTGGAGTCAGTTATGAGCTGAGTGGCCAGCTTTGAGCTTTCTCAGAAGCATTAAGAAAATCAAAAGCTATTAGGGACTGTACAGTGCAATTGTTTGGAGGGGAAGGGTACTGGTCCCTGCCATGCACTTGCAAAGGCTCTGTCCCATACTCAGATAGGGCATCGGCAGCACCGCCCAAGAGACACCTGAGCTAGGCAACCCTTCAGTGGCTTTATGACCACTGATAATCGGCTGCACCCGCCCCATAGCGCATGGCTTTCCACGTGCCCCTACTCCAGAGGATGACACCATGGAGTATGACACTTTCCCAGTAACAGACAAATCCAGGGCAGAGGGGACTCTTCGAGGACTATGMCCAACTAAATCAGCCACCCAGTGCACACACTGATAGGCCTTTTGTTTCCAACTCCTACTATCGAGAGGAGCAAGGRAGGGAGGTGCCCAAAACCCCAAATTGCCAAAACACCTGCTCTACATCCAGCTGAGAGCTACCAGACCTTGGGAGATCACCGGGCTGACTGCAGCCACATTGCAGATTTTTGGCGTGATGCCTCCTCCAGCAGGTAGCTGCATACAGGGTGCACTCTACGGCARGAGAAAAAACCATGGTTTGCTGATGTGGAGGGGCTGGCGACCAAGACAAAAGCTACCTGGCCACGGACGTAAGGSATATCCGACATCCCTTTGTTAAGTATTCCAGGGGAGGAGAAGCAGGGCGATACCAGAAACCTTATCGCTACTCCCACCACCCTGGGAACATCCCTCCTGCCTCTCTGCTACTCTCCATCACAGCGGTGCCTGCAGGAGCGGCAGGGTGCGGGGGGGCGGGCAAGCAGCTCTCCGAGCCCGAGCACGCACAAAAGCGCAGACCGCAGGAGAGACAGGCGCGCCGTGGGCAGGGGTCCTGCGACCCGCGAGGTGCACGAACCACGTTACCCAACAAAACTCAAGGCAAGGAACAGCTAAGGACGGACGTCCGGGGGACAAAAAGAAGCCTCGGGCGGACTTGGGGCGGCGGGGGCCCCAGGCCGCCCTACGGGCGCCGCGCCGGGCGCGCCCCCCGCCCCGCTCCGCCCCAAGATGGCAGCGGCGCCTCCATCCCCGGCCGCCCCCACCGCGGGCTGGGCGCAAGGGCCGCGCGCCCGGCCCGGCGCGGCCTCATCACGCCCGAGCCGCCACCGCCAAGCCCCGCCATCCCCAGCAGCAAGAACCCTCCTGGCCTAGAGAAGCCACGGCCGCCGTGTCCCGCAGCCCCGCAGCCCCGCCGTGCCGTGTCGCAGCTCCCGCCCGCTTACCGGCGGCTCCTTACCCCGTGTCAAGCGCGGACGGGCTCCCCCCGGGCCGGGCGCTGCGGTACCGCGCTGCGCTCCGCCGCCCTCGGCAGCGAGCGCCGACCGCTAGGCTGGGCTGGGCTCGGCTGAATTCGGCTCGGTTCGGCTG